GTCTCATTATATATTCATTCCAGAGACTCCTTTCGCGTCGATGCTCCCGCTTTGACTTTTACGATGGAGCGCAGCGGTTGCTACGAGACGTCCCAGCCAATCGGGCGCCGAGAACACCGTCACGTGACTAGGCTCCCCGGGCGAAAATCACGCCACACCAGACTCGTACCGCAGTCGTTATAGTCGTAATCAAATACCTTGCAGTCGAATATACTTTTGAAAGTATTTTTGCATTGTTTTGAATATATCTATTAGAAAGTAATCGAAACAGTAATATGATTCTTTTGGAGTACTCAAATTGTTCGTAATTCTTACTCTCCCTCTTTCCGAATAACGCCCCTTTGTGTTTTTTTTAAGTTTTCTATCAAGCGGTTTTCAAAGCAAGTCTCCGACGGGTAGACGAATTGTCGAAATTGACGAATTAAGAAGATCAGTATTTTTGCAATTCGGTGATTCAAATTCAATAATAGAAAGTACGATGGACCCGTTCTTAAACCGACAGAAAAATCTGTCGTTTTGAAAATCTGAAGTGATAAAGAAAGTAACGGTTATTTTTTTCAAATAACGGCCAGTGCCTATTGAGGAATCTAATGACATACTTTTTGAACCGAGAGAAATTTTAATTGCAATCCATTACTTTCTTTTCTCGAGTAACGCGTAGAAGACTGCGTGACACGTGGCATTAAATTGAGTCTGATGGTTCGTAGCGCCCGCTCCACTCCATCGTGAGGTTTAAACGGAGTCTAGGTGTCCCCACGTTGGCTACAGTCACGACAGCTGAGCTGCGCAGCGAAGCTTAAAGAAGAAAGTTACGATGTCTCTATTTTTTTTTTTTTTGAATGAAACAGCCAGTTTTACAGTGGCATACTAATGGGAAAACTGTCGTCGTTTTGAAACGAGGAAGTCGCTTTAGCGGCTTCCTCGTTTCACGCAGAATATTATTCTGACAGCTTACCGCAAAAACGTAGGTGGCGTTTGATGTGGAAAATAAAGGAAAGAAGATAAAAGCCGAAGTTGATTTTGAGTAGTTTTCGTTTTTAAGTGGTTTTGCTTAGGACCGCATCTGCAGTTCAGACGGTTTTTATTTTACTTTGAGGCGTTTTATGCGCGGAGAAACTGTGGGAGATAAGAATGATATTGCGCGCGGGGACGGTGAGTAGCGAAGAAGGGTATGCACTTGGGCTAGTTGGTGATCCATGTTTGTGAGGGTAAAAGCGCTAAAAACAACGGACGAGTAAAAGAGCGGTCTGTGTTGTTCGTTTCTTTTAGCGCTCTGTGTTGTTCGTTTATTTTACTCGTCCGTTGTTTTTAGCGCTTTTACCCTCACAAACAAGAGAGTGGCGAACTTTAGTAATCACTTCACTCTAAACAAAAACGATGTCGCCCTTTTGTTGTGGGAAAGGCAATGGCAACGCAGAGTGTGAGAGTTTAGTGTAAATCAACGGTGTACACACGCGGAGACTGGGTGATACGAATGGTGGTTGGGTACCATCTTCTGCGGTGGCGATGCAAACGCGACTTTCTCAGAGCGGGTTGCAGTGTGAGACGCACAGGACGGGCGCGTGTGAAGAGCAGAACAATGGACCTTTTCCGAGAAGCGTTCTGCGCACGCGCGAGCGCCCGATGCCAAGCGGCGGAAGTCGGCACGAAAAATCGAGGAAATTCGGAAGGAGGCTGTGGATCAGCGAGTAGAAAACGTAATTTCAGCATATATATAATTGTGTTACACAAAACACGACGTTTGGGTGGACGCCACGGATGCCCCTCTTTAAAGCCTCGTTGGACACGCGCCGCAGCTCAGAGAGCGAAGAAACTGGTAGCGTATAGCTCCAATTATCGATCGGTAGCGCCGGTAGATCACTTCCTCGATTTTTAGTTCGTGGAGCCACCGCCTGGTGCCGTCGGTATGTGGAAAAGGTCCGTCGGAACGCGTCAGCGCCGAACAGAGCTGAACAGGGCGCTTTCGAGGAAGAAGCTCGGCTGGCACCGGTGTCCAATCAGTGAGCAGACGAGCGCAACGTCAGCATTCGGCTGGCAGTCGGCTTCTCGACTTCCGTCCCTGGTTGAGAAACGAAAACGTTTTAGGTGCCAACCATATCACACATTCTGTTAAAAAAAAAAAAAAAAGAAGCCCCCGAGTTTACGATAAGCAAAGCGAATTTGGGACACTGCCAGTAAACTAAAGTCCCTTGATAGTTCTTTTACAAGTAACGACAACCAATATACAAATGACAGAGCACATTCCTTTGCAACAAAATGGCGACATTCAGTTCAAACCTCTGATGCGCGCCGCCATTCGCTTCCTGAAACCGGCACCGCCACGCAGTCGGGGCTTCAAAGAATTTCTCTACTTGTAGGAAGCTCTTATCAAGGGAATTTACAGTACACCGTTGTATAAGAAGTAAAGCTCATCGTTGGTTAAGGGTCTCATGAAACGATATCGGGTTGGAATGTTGATGACTTTGCAGAGGCGTACCGGTCCTAGTCTGACCCAAGTATGCTCGCACAGACCGCCACTGATTCAGAAGCTTTTTTGTTTTGGTGAATTTGCGAGGATAAGAATAGGACTATATCTTTCGGTCTTGCTTTCGCAGAGCTAGATGACGTAATTGTGGGCGCGACGGACTGGACTCGCGCGCTTCTTTTTCATACAGCCTTTTTCGTCACAGGAGAGGACATGTGCATCTTTCTGCGCGGGGGCGCTGGCACCCCACTATTCTTAAAGGGGTATTCACACGAGGGAGAAATCCCGGGGATTTCTCCCCGGCACGCGCGCATCACGAGATGAAAACGCGAGCCTTTAGCACATCGCAAAGCCTAACGTTTTCGTCGTGGGATGCGCGTGCCGGGGAGAAATCCCCGGGATTTCTCCCTCGTGTGAATACCCCTTAAAGCCCCATTATGTTTTAAAAGTTGCGCAAGGTACGTCGATGCACGAAGCACGTGCAACGTGCAGCCCTTGGGACGATCACGGCTTCACGGCGCAGCACTGGGCTAGATTTCAGACGCCATGTTCTTCCCAGAAGTGGCGCACGGCACGTGTCTCGAGCATTTTCACAACAATCAATGGCGCCATTTTTCCCAGGACAGAGGGGCATTAGCTATTCTCGTTGTTCCACCCTGCTAACCCTGCCCACAAAGGGGACTTTCTCTCGCTGCCCAAGGGGGCATTGGCGTGTCCCGAATTGCACAGTCAACATCGGGGAAGACTACTGTCGTGTCTTTCCACCAGCTGCCAAGCAATGAATCCCTCAGCATCACGTGAAAAAAAAAAAAATAAGATACCAAGAACGAACCTTCTTGTCAATAAATAAAACTTTCGCACACTACGATGTGTGCGTAAGATCCTCCATTTTTTCAGTGAAGCATTTAGCAGAATATTGCTTTAAAGGTAATAAAATGAATAAACGAGAGATTGATCGTACACTGCGATTTTTGTGCCGCGGCATTACCTCCTTGAGAGTCATCAATATTCGGGTCCTCAACCAGCGCTATAATTATGTGTGTGTGTGTGTGTTTTTTTTTTTTGTGATTCGCAGAGTTTGTGTTTAAAATTACAGTTCACCGCCAGTCACCGAAAATCTTTCAGCACCTTACGCGCATGTCGCATTTCTAGCACAGCGCAAAGAATATGGCAAGGCAGGCTCCGCTGTAGTTTCCAAACGATTTAAGCGTTTGCTTCTTCCTTGGCTGCATTTCCAGTGGTCTTTGTCCAGAGTCTATAACCGTTGAAAACTTTTTGTGAAGTTTCAAAAGAGAAAAAGAGAACGGAAATTTTTTCCTTAGTATAGAGCAGTGACCCATCCTACGGCGTCGCCGCGGCGCATGCAGCTGCTGGGCGTCCAGTGGCGCTTTGGGCCTACTATGTGCCGATGCCGCTTTGAAGACGTAGGTGTTTTCATGCCTGGGTGAAGAGACCGTAAGACAGCGAGCGCTTATAAAGTCCGGCCGTGTTGTAGGATCGAACCCATCCGCCGAACGACAGTAGAGCGCGGCTCATGGATTGGACACAATAACTGCGGGAGCGCTCGACTTCGGCTCGTAACAATGCCTGGAGCTCAGCAGGCGTTTTCCTGTTTTGCCAACCCCAGCGCGTGGTTATCGTTGGCGGCATAATACAGGCACCAGGCCACGTGACCGCTTGTTCTGGCTTTGAGTTAAAGGAGCTGTGCAACAATTTTTGTACTGTGCACAAATACCGCTTAAAACGGATCCCTAAAGTTAATGACCTATGAAACACGCGTTCGTTTTTCACCCCACGCAATAAAAGTCCCAGAAAAAAATTAAGAAAAACGAGCAGCGTTCACCCCCTCAACTCGCAGCCAGAACAAGCGGCCACGTGATCTGGAGCCGATTATATGCCGCCAGTGTTGATCATAGCCACGCGCTGGGGTTGGCAAAGCGCAGGACACGCGCTGAGTTCCAGACATTGTTAGGGCTCGGCTGTTGTCGTCGTTGCAGCGATTGGACACGGGTCACAACCCGAATGCTTCTCGAGCTAGCAATTATCACGAGTCCAAGTCGAGTGCCCACGCAATGCTCGGGTCCAATCTATGAACCGCATTCAAATATCGTCACTTGGGTGTACTGCGATCCCCGAGTTACGTCATCAAATTTTGCAAAGGAGAGATTGAATGAAAATGATCGTTTTTGTCCTTGAAATTACACCGCAACTAAGGAGTTTCTTGGCCAATGACGTTGCGTGTGAGTATCCTTGAGTCCCAGGTGTGCCAGTAAGCTCGTGCAGAGAGAAAAACATTCCAATTGAATATCGTTGCACAGCACCTTTAAGGTAATAACGATGCTCATATTTCTGAGATTTTTTCGGCGACTGTCAATGCCTAGGAAAAAATAAACTAAGGCAAGTTTACTCAGGTATTAACGTTAGGGAGTGATTCTAAGTATAGTATTACCGAAAGTAGAAAAGTGGTTTCATGGCTCCACTAAAGTACTCGAACACAATACAGCAAAACAAAATTTTGTAAGCCTGCATTTTTATGCTAAGTACCAAAATGAAGTCTGAAAAGAAAAACGGAAATAATTTGAGAGTCAGAATGTTTTGTTTTCGTCGCAAGAAAATGTAGTTCTTACCTTGAATTATATATGCTGCATACATGAGGGTTGGCTCAGTTTATAAGTCGCGCTGTTTGTTTAATATTGTTTTTAATTATTTCTTTTTGAATATTACTGTAAACGTGAATGTATTTTTTTTTTTTACCTTAGTTATTTCGACTTTTTTAACGCCATCGTCGCAGCGAATTTCGCTTTTTCCTCGATCTTTAATAATTCACCTCTTCTGGAATAGCGAACCTCAGTCCTTTTTTTTTTTTCGCTGGCAAAAGATATGGCGACATCTAACCATTTGAATAACCAAATTATTCGCACTTATTGATAAGGCAAAAAAAAGTAAAACATTTGAATGAATTATTACGCGGAATCGAGCTGTCCGTGTTGAATAATAGCAGTTAATTATCGAGGCAAGCTAGGTTTCAACCCAATCACTCGGAAATGCCAAATGAGAGTCACACTCACCGACAACTTAATAAACGCAGGTATGCTCACACGTCTCGCTTCCGGATTCGTTGTACGACGTTCAGTGTCGCTTAATCTCGCTGTCTGATTGGTTGTAGGGTGATAATATGATGTTCGGCAGCAGACCACGCTCAGTATTTCTTAAAGGAGCCATGAAACAATTTTTCTACTTTCGCTAAATACTAGTTAGAATCACCCCCTAACGTTAATCACTGAGAAAACTTGCTTTAGTTTTTCTTTCTAAGCAATTGCAGTCGCAGAAAAACAACAACTGAGAGATATAAGCATCGATCGATCATCCCCTCAACTTGGAGTCTGAACAAGCGGCCACGTGGCCTGGTGCGTATCCTATGTAGTCAATGTCAACAATAGCCACGCGCTGAGGTTTGCAAAGTGGAAAACGTGTCCTGAGCTTTAGGCATTGTTAGACTTCGGCTATTCTCATCACCGCAGTGGTTGGACACGAGCCACTACAACGAGTGTTCACCGAGGCGTTGGTTGGCATGAGTCGAGTGATCACGCAGTTCTCGTGTCCAACCCGTTAGCCACGCTCGACTGTCATCAAGCGGGTAATTTTGACCCAAAGTTACTAGATTAGGTCAGTTGTGGAACTCCCTCGGAGGAAGGGACCCTGCCTCACTCACTCCAGCCCGCCTGCAGTCGTTTAAAGCGCCATCTAGATTTTCGTTTTAAAACTATGTGTTCCATAGAGTACGGTAGAACACCATCTAGACGCTGTGCTTCGAAACGTATGTATTCCATAGAAATACACTCCAGTTACCACACCGGCCGTCCGGTGTGTCGAACGACTTCAAGCGAGCCGTGGTGAAAAACGGGGAGGGGGGGGGGGGGGGGGGGGGTTAGTGCTTCTGCAAGTAGCCTCTATGAGCAGTTCCGTAACTAAGTTTATCTAAAGACGTTGTTTCAATCCCCTGATTGCGTCATCAAGCCTTGTAAAGGCAAGACTGAAAAAAGGTCCCATTTTATCCTCGCAACTTCAACGCGGCAAAAAAGAAACTTCTGGATCGTTGGCGGTCTGTGCGAGCATACTTGAGCCAGACTAGGGCCTAAGTAGGATTAGTACGCCTCTGCAAAGTCATGAATATTCTATGCCGGTATTGTTTCATGACCCCTTTAAGTTCTCGGTGAGCATAGACGAGTTGCATTTGCGAATCGTCCAATCAGCATTCGTAGTCATAATATAAAAACAAATGTCTGGAGGGTCTGCTTTCTTGCCATTCGCCGAAGCCAAAGCCAATCGTCAGTCGCCAAAGCCAAAGTCAATCACCAAATCCAAAGCGAGTTTCTGTAATGAAAAGCCAAAGTCAATCGCTGTAAGCTACAAAGGAAGCTCGGCGAACGACGAGGCTGAAACCTAAACTCATAACTGTTGTCAAACTAAAAAAGGAAAAAAAAAGCGTTTTGCTCAATATTCGTGCGCTGCGCGAAGTAGTTCTTGGAGCTCAACCCATTGAAACTGTCTCATCATGTAAGTATCTTGGTGTGCACCTAACATCTGACTTATAATAGACCGCACACATCGAATCCATTTCACACGCCGCTTAAAAAACGTTGGATTACATCCAAACGCTGTCTTCACTCTTCTCCTTCGAATCTTCGCAAATAGACCGATGTCACCAAGCGAACTGCGCAGGCGCGCGCATTCCGGAAGTGGTGCCGCCGCCATGCTACTTGTAGTCATCCCTTCCTGGCTACATACGGCTGCGCGTACGTATCTCATCATAGATTATTATTTGGCACGCCCCGGTACCACCTTGATTCTCTTGCATGTTTTTACTTCATAAGATTGTGTTGTTTGTGATGCCTTGCTTTCCTCAGCAAGTGCAGAAAAGCAGTTACAGTCGTCTTATCGCTTTAGAATCGCCTTGTCGTCTGCTTCGTCGTCGTCTGCTTCGTCGTCGTCTGCTTCTTCGTGTTCGTGAACGCGTAAGCCCACTGCCGTTCACGGGGTAATCCCACTGCGGCCGCGGGAAAAACAAAACAAAGAAACAACGGCGCCACTACTCGAGCATTCCGACTTCTCGGACGTCTCAATTACCTTGCAAACAAGTGAACATCTAGTGCAATAGCAAAGAACAAGAAAATTCGAGGGACAATTGGCTCGGTGTAGCACCACGGAATAGCATCAAATGTGATGAAAAACTGAGCTTGGTGGTGCTCAGTCTTGTGCATAACGTTTAATCAGCCATCAAGTAAGAGAAGCTAAATAGACTTTCTCGGTCTGCGATAGTTTTGTAGAAATTGTTTCATTCTGGTTGACAGCCCGTGCGACAGAGTACAGATGAACAGCGGGAGAAGCCTGCACACAAAGAACTGATCTACAGAAAGGTCATGCCTGACGCGCCGTAATAATTGGCATCTATTAAAAAGAAGCAACCATGCCAGATACCTGAAAGCTTGGGGTGGAGATGATTTTTCGTGCGCAGTTTCTATTCAGTTTTATTTTGTTTGCGCAAGATCCGAACGCTAACAGTCGCCCGACGGGGGAAGCTTTTTTCTGCGGTCTCGACTGGTGCTAATGCAGGATGGATCAGTAACACCAGCCTAATAGACCACCACAAAATGAATGAGGTTCGTTTGTTAAATTTTTGGCGGTAAGTACGTGTTGCACTTCTAAATTGCATTATGTAATCTTTTCGCGTAGGTATGAAAAAAAAACTGAAGGCTGCTTCCGAAAAAAAGTTGTTTTATATCAAGTGGTGCATATCGGGAATCGCTGCTCTTTTTCAGTGATTGTCCTTATCCTTTGAACCACAGTGGTGCTTGAAACATGTCGTCGCAATACCAGCTATAACCACCAAAATACACCGAGTAAGAAGTGTATTAAAAACGGCCTCCGCAAAGCAGTGCGGAGGTCCTATTTGAGATAGACCAACGAATAGGCCGCTACGGAGCAAATGGTCAGAGAGATTCCAGCTTATGGAACACTTCGGCACGCTCTATGTCTTGTGCCCTGTAATCTTACATATTTTAGCTGACGTGCAATAATTGGATATAAATTATGAAGCAAATCGCGAAACACGCTATTTTTCCTGCCGCTCTGTCCGGCTCTGTCGACCTTTCTTTGCCATGCTTCTTTCTTGCGGGAAGACATAATATCCGAGGCCTTTTTGCCTGGTGCTGTTATTATAGCTCCGTGGCATACAACATGTGAAGCCACCGATTGAAAATCATGACTCAACACCTGGCTAAAAGTCTCGTGCTAACCCGAAAATTCCCAAACGCCGGGCGCACAGTGCGCGCCGACGCGGCCGGAAAACTGGGGAGAACTACAGGTACCAGAATGCACCGCGGCAGCGGTGGCGTCGCTCAACTCCTCGTGAGATCGGTCTATTAGCATATCAGACATTCGAACGACCAAAACTTGAATACGCCGCTTCCATATGGAGCCCTCATTAAGCTTACCTTGTCACCCAGCTTGAAGCCATACAAAATCGTGCTGCTCGCTACATCCTCTTTACATATGATCGCACAGAAAGCGTGACGGCAATGAAGTCCCATTTGGGCCTAGCTTCATTAGCTACGTGCCATAAATGTTCACGACTCTGCCTTTTTTTTTTACAAGATATACCATTATCATCCGGACATTAAAGCAAATATCTTGCAACCTCCACCCCGCTCTTCCCGCAGACTAACAGACTGTGTACAACGGATCTCTGGATCCACTAACGCATTTAATAACTATTTTTTTTCCACTAGCGATTTCCTAATGGAACTATTCACCGGAGAAATTAGTCTCGATCATCTGCCCGGACGCACTCCGCGCTTGTTTAGTCTTGCATCTCGGAGAGTAGTAATTTGCCTGCCTGTATTTTTCTTTTCTCTATGTACATGTTCCATGTTTGCACTAATTCATTGTGCATGAGTGCTTGTCATTGATCAATTGCGTTTATATTTGCTTAGTTTTAACCTGATGTATGTATGTTTTTCTAACTCAGTGTTTTTTGTTTTGTTTTTGTGACTGATATGCGAATGATCCCCCTTTATGCGATGTTCTCGATTGTGGATATTTGAGGGTAAAAAAAAAAAAAGATTTTGTTGTCGAACCAAGAAGAAATTATTTTGGCTTACGAAACGCTTACGTCTCATTGAAAGAACATAAAACTAGTCTAAAATTCACCCGCATATCTCTTAATACGACACAGGAAAGGGGAAGACAGTTCCGTTCCACGAGGAGCCGGATTATTTTTATTTATTTTTTGCTACGGCTGTTCAGGTGAACACGAGTAGAGACAAAATGAAATATTTTGCGTTGTGGCAAAACGAGTACGGAGAAACGACACGCTCAGTGACACTGTTCACACCGCTGATTGGGGGTCTCAATGGACCTTTTCCAAATACCGACAGCACCAGGCGGTGGCTGCACGAACTAAAAATCGAGGAAGTGACCTACCTGTGCTACCAATCGAAAATGGGAGCTACGCTACCAGTTTCTTCGCTCTCTGAGCTGCGTCCCGTGCCCAACGCGACTTTAAAGAGGGAAATCCGTAGCGTCCACCAAAAGTCGTGTTTTTCTTTCCGTCCACTTTCTTTTTTTGTGTAACACAATTATATATATGCTGCAATCACGTGTTCTACTCGTCGATCTACAGCCTCATTCCGAATTTCCTCGATTTCTCGTGCCGACTTCCACCGCTTGGCATCGGGCGCTCGCGCGTGCGCAGAACGCTTCTCGGAAAAGGTCCATTGATGCGGTCGGCCTCATCGTTGGTCTAACTCCTGAAGCTTGCAGCGATTAACTCTCCCAACATAGGTTGCTCTATACTGACAAAGCCTTGCAGATCACCATGAGGAGGAGGAGGAAACTTTATTATTCTTCCGGGATCAGGTATTGGGGGTGGCGGAGGCCCAGAGGGCCGCCGCGATCGCCAGGGCCCGGGAGGTGGTCAGGACTTGGGCTGACTCCTCCGGGTCGCGCAACATCTGCTCCCAGAGGTGAGGGGAGGGAAGAGGGGGGTATGGGTCTGCGGGGCATTCGCAAAGGGAATGGTAATGAGTGTCGAATGCCCCGCAGGCAGGACAGGCGGGGCTGGTAAAGAGGTGTGGGTGAGTGTGTATTAGTTGTGTTCGGTGGGGGAAAGTGTGTGTTTGTAAGAGGCGCAGCATGTGTGCTGCCTCTTGGGAGAGGTGGGGGTGCGGAGGTGGGTATTGGCGGCGGAGGAGGCGGTAGTGTAGGGTAATATCCCTGTATTGCAGGAGGGAGGTAGGCTTGCCTGCAGGGACATCGCGTGTAGGCGCAGTTGAAATGGCGGCTCGGTCGATAAGTCCGCGAGCACGATCGTGCACCATCTCATTTGCGCCCACGCCTGTGTGGGCTGGTGTCCACAGCAGGGTCACGGTGTCGGATGGAGGGTTGTTGGTGAGAATTTGGAAGGCCATGGGGGAGATATTGCCGCGAATAAAATTGCGGATGGCCTGCTGAGAATCAGATAGGACGAATTGGGGGGTGGGGCTCTGGGCGAGCGCAAGGGCAATGGCCGCTTCCTCCGCCGTGGTTGTGTTTGTAGTGAGGATGGTGGCCGCCGTGACGTTTGGTGGTGGATGTTGGCCGAGAACAGCTACACAGTGTGCAGGTTTGTGAGGGTAGGGTGTGGCATCAGTGTATAGTGTGCATGGTGATGGTGGGTATAGTTTGGCGTGGATGTTGGCTCGTGCTAGTCGCCGGGCTTTATGGAAAGTTGGGTGCATGTGGCGAGGGATTGGGTGGACTCGAATGCGGTTACGTATGTGCGGTGGAATGGGGAGTGGGGGGATTGGGATGGTGGGGGGGAGTATGTTTATAGTGTTAAGAATGTAGTGCCCTGTGGGTGAGGATGCGAGGCGGGTGAGTTGGGACATGTGGTGGGCGTCTAGGTGTTCGCGTATTGTGTTGTGTATGCCGAGGTCGAGCAGGCGGTGCGTTGGGGCGTGAGGGGGGAGTAGGAGAGCATGTCTATATGTCTTCCTGAGGAGCGCATCAAGGGAGTCGAGTTGGGTGGGTGTAAGGTTAAGGTAGGGTAGCTGATATAGGATACGGTTGAGTAGAAAACTGTGGACGAGTCGGAGGCGGTCCTGTTCCTTGATGCCGTGGTGTTTAGTGGCGATCCTTCTAATGAGGTGTGAGGTTTGGGTAACATATTTCTTTACGTATTGGAGGGTGGGTGCGGGTGATCTGTTGTGTGTGAGGGTGAGGCCTAAAAGTCGAACTTGTTGTGTGTGTGGTATTGGGTCAGAGTGTATAAAAAGTTGGATGGGGGGGTTTTGGAGGGGTTTGTGACGAGGCGGCGTAAAGGTAAGGAGAGCGGATTTGTGTGGGGAGCATTGGAGCTCCAAAGGTTCGATGTGATGTAGGACTTGGTTGAGGCCATGTTGAAGTGTTGCTTCAATGTGTTGGTCGGAGCCAGAGGAGACCCAAAGGGCAATGTCATCTGCGTACAGTGTGCTGCGTAGTGTGGGGATAGTGAGGAGAGTACGGGCAAGTGGGATTAGGGTGAGGTTAAAGAGCATGGGCGAGAGGACCGCTCCTTGTGGCGTTCCGCGGTCTGGCATGTGGAAAGAATCAGACTGGACATGGCCGAAACGGATGGTAGCGGTACGTTTTGCGAGAAAGTTATAGATATAGTGGTTGAAGTGTAGGCCTAGGTTTTGGGATGAGATTGCCTGAAGGATGCTATGGTGTGAGATATTGTCAAAGGCTTTTTGGAGGTCTAATGAGAGTATAGAGGTGTGATCTCGTTGCGGGGGGTGTTGGTGGAAATCATGATGATACTGTATAAGGGCGTCTTGCGTGGATAAGTTGGATCGAAAGCCGATCATATTAGGTGGGTAGGTTTGTGTGTATTCAAGGTGCGCATTGACGCGATTCTGCAGGACGTGTTCGAGAAGTTTGCCGAGACAGGAGGTGAGTGAGATGGGGCGAAGGTATTGTATGGAGGGTGTTTTTCCAGGTTTGGGGATAAGGGTGATGTCAGAGTGTTTCCAGGTGGAGGGAAGGGTGTGGTTAAGCCAATGTTGGTTGAAGAGCTGTACAAGGTGTTCTAGGACCTCCTCATTGAGGTGACGTAAGAGGGTGTTTGTGATGTTGTCATGTCCTGGTGTAGTGTTGCGTTTGAGGGCTTGCACCGCCGCTTGTAGTTCTGCAAAGGTGATGGGGGCGTCGAGCTCTGGGTTGGGGTTGCCAGTGTATTGTGAAGGACCAACAGGGTGTGATGATGGAGGTGGAATGTATATGGAGCGGAGGGTGTCGCATAGGGCGGTGGGTGAGAGTTGAGTTTCCGCTATAATTTGTGTGGTTTGGTGGCGAGATTGCGTCTTAGTAGTGCGCGGGTCGAGTAGGGCATGCGGAGGATGTGCCAAACCTTCTTAGTGGAGAGCTGGCCTCGCATTTCGTCGCAAATATTATTCCAGTTGTTCCTGGCTAATGTGAGTGCGTGCGTCTCGATCTTAGTGCGGAGAGTTTGTAGTTTGAGGCGAAGGTTGCGTCGGTGTTTATGTTTCCGCCAGCGCTGCTCTAGGCTGGTGTAGGCCTCCCAGAGGTTACGGAGGTGGGTATCTACATATTCCGCTGGGGGAGGAGGATCGATAGTTTTGGTTGCAATCTGTTTAGCTGAGAGAAGGTGGGTCGTCCATTGTTCTAGGTCGGAATCACAGGTGGTGGTGGGTGGGAGTGGGCATTCGGTACGGAATAGATCCCAATCTGTGTGTGTTGGTGGTGGAAGTGGGGGGCTTGTGGAGATGCCTTTGAGGGTAAGACACGTGCTGATGATGTAGTGATCGCTGCCAAGTGTGTGTGGTGTTGTGGATGTGTGAAGGGTGAGTCGTCCGGTGCTAAAGGTGAGGTCGGAAGTGGTATCGCGCTGGGCACTGTTGCCAATGCGTGTGGGGGAGGAAGGGTCGGTGTGAAGGGTGAGGTTCAGGGAATGGGTGAGTTCAGAGAGTAGGCGGCCTTTGCGGGTGGTATAAGAGTAGCCCCACTCTATGTTAGGGGCGTTGAAGTCACCTACAATTAGGAGAGGGTCACGTTTAGTGAAAGCGAGTGCCTGCTGGAAGATGTATTTGAAGGATATGTGTTTGGATTTAGGGGGGCTATAGATATTAAGAACATGCAGGCGTGTGACAAGGGATTTGGGAAGGTGGAGTGTGGTGAGTATATGTGGGATCGGTGAGGCGAAAGTTACGTGCTGGGTGGCAATATTGCGATGTACAAAGGTGGCTATCTGGGGGAAATCCGATGGGGAGTGAGATGCATAGTCTTTGAGTTTGGGTGAGTGGTATGTTTCCTGTAGTGCTATGAGGATGGGGGGGTTGGGTATGGATGCAATGTGTGCTTGGAGGTTGGCTCTTTTAGTTCGAAAACCGCGGCAGTTCCATTGCCAGATGTATTGTGTGTTAGAGGTCCGGGTCATTTTCGTGGGTTATAGGTAAGGGTGTGGTAGCTGGGGCGGCAAGGTGCATCCATTGTAGGACTTCTTGATGTAGGGAATGTACCGATTCCTGGATTGCATTGATTTGAGCAGAGGTGTGTTGGCGGTGGTTATCGAAAGCCGTTTCTATTTCGGCGCGTAGGGTGGCTATTTCTGCGTTGCCTGAGGATGTGGGGGGAGGGTCAGTATTGGGGGGCAGTGCCCGTTTCTTATTCGGGGTGCAGGTGGTTAGCTGATCGGGTGACGGGGCTGGAGGGTTGTGGGAGGTTTGGAGTTGCTGTTTAAGGAGACGGTTTTCCGCTTGTAGACGCTCATTGTCTGCGCGAAGGAGGGTGATAGTGTTACGCAGTTGCTGCATTTCTTGGCGCATTTGGCGCATTTCGTTTTGCCATGTGGAGGGCGGGGGTGGGGGTGGGTGAATTGGGGGATTTGGGAGCAGAGCTGCGCGCACCTGGCCCTGAGCGGCTTGGCTGTACGTGAGTCTGGGTGTGGTGAAGGTCGTGGTGTTGCGGTCAGGTCCGGTCTCGGGGGTGAAGGGGGGTATGTTGGGTAGGGTTTTCGGTAGGGTGCGGCGAGGCTGGAAGCGTTTAGGGCATCCCGCTGCACCTGTCAGGTGATCTTGTCCACAGAGGATGCAGCGAGGCTGGCATGGGTGATTTGGTGTGGGGCCCGGTGTACCACAAATTGTACAGTGGGGTTTCGGTGAGGGTTTGTGGCAGACGTCTCGCCTGTGGCCAGCTGACCAACAGGCCATGCATGCTTCGGTTTTCCTCTTGTAGGGGTAGCAACGAAGAATAACCGCACGGTACCGCACCCAGAAGGGTACATGCGGCCCCAAAAAGAGGACTTGCACGATGCCCGTGTCTTTGATGCGACGGGCGTCGAGGACTGTTATGGTGGGGTTATGACGCGTAAGGCTTTCCATGATTAGTGGTTCGGAGTCTTCAGCTGGGATCTGGAATATTGCTCCTGGCGTGGTGGTGCTGGGTGGGGGTATGTGGCTTTGGACGGGGTAGTGGGTAGCGTTCCAAGTGATTGCATTGAGGTCCATGTATTGTTGGGCTCTGCGTTCATCGGGGGTACTTACTACGATGAAGTTTGAACGGGTGTTTATGCGTACTTGGTCTTGAGCAAAGTCTGTTATCTTGGCTTGGTGGAAGATGCAGTCGGCTAGCTGGGCTGCATTAGTTGTGCTGAGGTCCAGACCGCCCTGAGGACGAATGGCAACCTTGAAGTCATCAGGGGGGAGCGGGTCTTCTGGGGGGGTGGTAGGTTTCTTGCGATGTTGTCGGCGTTTTTGTTGGGGCTTGGTGGGTTCAGCAGCGGGTGTGGTGGTGGCTGAAGTAGCGGTTGTTGCTGCGATGCGGGAGCGAATTGTCTTCCATCCAGGTTCACGTAGGATGTCAGGGATCGATTTCGTCCCCTTCAACCATGTATTCGACACGCGTTGGCGTGATTAGAATGGCGGTGTTAGTCGGAGAAGTTGGGAGCTGCTGCGGCGGCGAGTTGGTGGTAGGCGGCGGCGGAGAGTTTGAAGTTCCCGCGTCGGCAGCTGGTTGGGAGGCGCTCATGTCGGTGCGTTGAGTGGAGCGAACCGCACGTGCGCAGGTGGCTGCTGCCTCTGTCGCTAAGGGCTGACGTCAAGCCGGCGGCCGCCTCGCCAAGCGAAGGCGACGTTAGGCTTAGCGAAGAGTGCCGGCGTGGCTGCTCATAATTCGGTGGTGATTCACGTACCCGGTATCGATGGGCGAAGTTGTTGGCACCGATGTGGTCCTGGTGACGTTAGGAACACTTTGGTATCAATTCGACTGGTGTGCTTGCGATGATACAAAGCTATAACCAGGTGGAAGCGGAGCCCATGCGGAGCACGTCCAGCCGGGGCGCGAATCTTTTCCTCAAAAACTCACCATGAGAAGCGGCCGACGAAATTGAAAAGGTAGAGCGGCAGGGCAAGTAATGAGAGGAGAGCCACGTGACGGTTGCCCCGCAGCGGCCAGACGCCGAAACACACTTCTCCCGAGTACAGTATCCTGAGTACAGTATCCCGAGTTATGGAATGTCCGCTCGCGATCCTCACGTTCCTCGCGCTACCGATTCTTTTCTCGTCGGTTTTGAGAACCATGTTTCGGGTCCTCGCAGCTGCAAAAGCTGTGCGCTGACGACCAGGTTCCCCGAGAAATGCTCTGTGCTACCAGATCCTCGCGCTCCAAATCTGCGACCGGGCACTCCATGGTTCCGTCGTCGAACTGCCAGGCTTTGTGAGTATAAAGAAGACTACGCTACAAAGTGCTGTGTGGGAAAGTAGACGCTCCGAATTTCTTAGAGTGCAGAATCGCGAGCTGATTCGTCGATAGGCCTGTTTCTCTGGGTCAGGGGGCGCCGTAGAATCCGCGAGACGCGACCATCCTATAGGCCCGTAGCTCTCAAGTTTTGAGCAGCGCTCCAGGCCAGCAAAATAGAATATTTGGCTCGCGTTTCGAACGTGCGTAATCACGCTTCCTCGCTACCAATTTTTTTTTATTATTTTCCGTTTTATTACAACCGCTAGCGTAGCAGAGGCTACAAGAGCGAGCTCCGAGCTTGCAGTGTCCCTTCCAAGCGCGCGCGCTCGTGCAGTGCGAGCATCGTTCAGGGGAACATGTTCTTGCAAGTAGCTTCAGCTTCTCTATCACGTAAAGTGAAGCATACGGGCTTGCGGAAGCTATGAAAGAGCAGAATAAACTAATGAAGCTGAATGGGACGCTGAGTCCACGAGCTCCATAATTCTTTTTTTATTTTAGTTTTTCTCTTTTAAGACATTTTGTTACCGCGCGTCTACAGATGCTGACAGATGCTTGCAT